TCAATTTCACTTTGTATCCAAGAGAGAGAGAGAGAGAGAGAGAGAGAGAGAGAGAGAGATTTCGGGGCGACGACCGGCCCGCTCGTCCGCCTCTCGTTATTTCATCGCTCCCTCTGCTCCCCTTCGTTCTATTGAAGGAGCAAGAAAGGAAACGGACGATTTCACCTTCACCCTCCGAACTCTTCAGCTTGTCCCGGAGATACTCGACGAAGTCCGGGCTCGTCGTTTTTCGTGCTTCTCTCCCGCAAAAGGGCGAAGAGTACCTCCGGGAACAAGCGAGATAGAGAGAGAGAGAGAGAGAGAGAGGGGGGAGAAAGACAGAGATAATTGCATCATCAGCTGTCCCTTCATCGAGATTGGAAATGTGTGCGCGACGTCCCGCGGGTGCTTAATTTTAATGACGAATTCTTCGTTCAATTTGCAATAACTTTCCCCCCCTCCCCCTCCCTCTCCCCGCCCCGGACGAGGACACGTCGATATAGATAGCCCGATAATTTCCGCAGTGTCCGCTATTTTTTTTTCCATTTTTCGCGAATCCGGTTGCCCGAGAGTAAATCGGCTTCGCCCGGAGTAAATCGGCTTCCCCGGCGGCGTCTCGCCTTCGCACACGCGGAAAGTTTCTCCGCGTTCCGGAAATAATGAGAATTACGATCACGTCTGCGGGCGACTGATTTCGAAATAAAATTCGCCCCGTTCACGCCGAGAGATTATAATAATTCACCGACACCGTTACGCAGTCCGCCCACGAAACGCTCCGCGTTTCCCCGCCCCCCCCGCTGCCGCCCCCGGCGTCTTCCCTCTTTGCGGGGCGTCCAAGTCCCGCAAAGTCCGAAAGGCGCAGACGGGGGCAATAATCCAGCCATAAGTCTCATCCCCGCCGTTATCGCCGTTATCGCGCTATCACCACTGACTATTATTCGAGCCGGGTACGCTCGATCGCGAGGAACGGCTGCGCTGCGAGAACGGTAAGAGAACGCGGCGTGTGCGTATCGACCCGTTATCTCAACTACATAAACGTAATTTCGCAATCCACCGAATTTACGTTTTTACCTGTGCGGACAGTTAGTTCGCCCCTTATCACGGGCTGCGATGAGCAAAAAGGCTGAAATATGAGCGACGTAAATTCCCGGTATTTCGTAGCGATTCTCCCGCGTGCGTGGCCGCGGAGTCGCGTCCCCCGGGAACATTACCGAATTTTCTCAAATGTTAGACCCCGGCTCTCTAGTGCGGTTTCGTCATGCCAAATTAGTGCAGTTAATGGACATGCTAATATCATCGATGTAACCGGCTTCAAAGCTTGACGTATGTTAATATTTACGTGAACACACGTGGAACGCAGCCACTGCGAGCTGGAAAAGCTGCGAATCGACGCGCCTTTCAATCACGCGTAATCGCTCGATTTTATCCGAATCAAAGGACCTTTTAAAGGGGGAATTACATGCGGAAGGTCGTTTCCAAGACTATTTCTATGATTTTTTTTTTTTAACAGAAAAGGGGAAAATCAGTGGAAATGCTTGGCATTTTCGTAGTGTATTCGTTAATGTTCAAAGTATAAAATGAATTTTAGTGAACCGCAAGAGCTGATCCAATTTGTAATTATAGATAAAAACGCAATCATCCGTTTGCGAGCTCTGTGTTTGCCGTGTCGACATAATTTCGGGCCTCTCGCTACTCTGAGACCAAAAAGTGAGAAAGATTTTTAAAATATACGGTTACCATTGTAGCCCGTACCGAAATGACGGCAGTGAAGCCAAGTTTGGGAAAATACTGACTGTGCAAAAACAAGTATCGAAAATGAAACTTTTTTCAACCTGTAATCATGTTTAAAAAAAATAAATAAAATGAAATGTAACTGTGTTCGAGGTAGGGGCGAAAACTACGTGTCTGCTGTATATTGCGAAAAATTTCAAGTTATTCGTAATTCAGTAATTTTCGCGTAATCGTGTCGGTAGCTTAAGAAGCTGGTGTTTTCAGATAAACGCGTTTAAAGTTTTATATGTATGTACTTTCCATACATATATAGATAGTAACAAATTTACTTTATACTTTGAACATCAATGAATCCCACTGCGAAAATTTCAAGTCCATTGATGCTACCGTTTCTGTTAAAAAAAATTCATAAAAATAGCCTCGGAAACGGCCTATCTCGCATGTAATTCCCTTTTCAGTGGAGACGGAGATACTTGCGAGCGCGCGTGCGCGCACACACACGTTCAGATACGTGCAACTTTTCTGCTTTTACCTCAAGCATTGTCGACAAGGTATAAACAAATGTTACTACGAATGAACACGCGTCGTAAAATCCCACGGAAAGGAAGACCTCGTCACGCGGCATGACAGATGTTATATCTAGCTTCAAAATTCGATGTCCCTTCCTTCTGATTTAAATAGACTCGCAAATAAATTCTCTCCGGGTCTTGGTAAACTTATCCCTAAGGAGGTTGCGCGAGTATCGTCGGTGAAACAAATGGGGTCGCGTCTAAGCGGACGGTCGATACCCTCGGATTTTAGCCGGCCCGACCTGTTTCCAGATCGAAACGCGCCCCCCGCGCCCTCCGCAGCTTCATAAGCAGCTGCGCCCGTGCGTCATCGCGGACGCAATTATGCATATTATTATGAGAGCAGCGCGACATTTCGCTCGAGTTCGGACGGCAAGACCCCGACGACGGGCGGCGACAAAAGCGCTCTCAAAGGAGTCGCGCGCGAGGGTTTCTTTCGAGACTCGGCCGAGGTCGCGTTTCCATTCCCATTTCGCGATCTCGCCAAACTCCTGCGACGGAAATCCGTTTAAAGAGCACGTCAGAAACGCAAAGTGCGCCCCCCGGACGTATCGCTTGGTAGCGCGAGACAAACGCATCTCTCCCGATCAATTTCCGACTAATTTGCGATCTCACGAATCCGCGTGTGCGTACGTTTGCGTCACCGCGACACTATTGTCTTCTTTCCCGCCCCCTCCTCGCGTCGCGTCACGCTGATGATTTTCAATCCCGCGCGCGCAAGAGTCAATTACGGCCGGAGAGCCAACTCGCCGGGACAAAATTCGCGAACCCAAAATCGCGCGAAATTAATATTTCATCCGACGTCATCGCCGTCATCCACCCGGGATTTTACCGGGAAGCTTCGATAAGCGCCGATTGTTATCGGCAGTCGCATGACGCGCGTTAAATTTTTAATGCAATCGAAAGTGTCGAATCAAATAACTCCGATTCTCTCTCTCTCTCTCTCTCTCTCTTTCCCATCACGTTTCCTCTCAAGCCCTCTCCTCTGTCAGCCCGATCCACTCTCACGCCCCTCAACAGGGTGACATTCTTCTCTATCCTTTTTTTTTTTCGCCACTCCTCCGACAAGTGCGCGACGCCGGAACGTTAATAGAAATTTGTAATTTCCAGGACGAGAGTCATAGGATGCCCATTTCGACGGGGGCGGCCCTTTCCCAATTGCGCTCGGAGGTGCAATTAACGTCGGCGCGCGGCAAACGAGATTTATCGGTCCTCCTAACATAATTGCTTTCAAGATGCGACCTAATGGCAATTTTTCCCGCTCGATTATGTCGCGCGAGAAGGATTGCCCGCCACTAGGCTCTCACCTGCGCGATCGGCTTCGCGTATATTGTTTCCGCGCACAAATGTCTCTCTGGGGTAATCTCATTAGCGTAATCACGCCGCGAAGCGCGCGACTCTCGCCGTTCGAACGTTCGATCCGATCAGATTAATATTTCAACGTAATCTCCCGGTACTCAAACGATACAAGTGTGGAGGTTTTTCTTTTTTCTTTTCTCTCTCTCTCTCTCTCTCTCTCTCTCTTCCTTTTCTTTCTTTACGTAGACGTCCGCTCACAACGGCGCTTCGATCATCGCGACGTTTGCGTCAAAAGCGCGAGAATCCCACGGTTTCTCGTCCTTTTAGCGCGACGTTTTTAATCACCGGCTCGTTTAGAAAGCGCCGGCACGCGCGAGCCGAGTGTCTTCCGAGTCATTCGCACGTCGCACTTCCGACACGCTCAGATGAATATTGGATGCGGAGAGCTTGGCCAAGGGAGACAGGAAGAAAGAGAAAGAGAGAGAGAGAGAGAGAGAGAGAAAGCATATCCAGTCCGCGGTCGCCTGTTCCCCCCCGTAGATCCGCGCAACGGCGTGATGTATCTTCGCGCTGTTGCATCGCGCACGTTTTAGGAGGAGCCACTTGCATGTGTCAAACGGGGCTAAAAATGTCGCGACTTTATGTTTATCAATTTCCCCGGCAGCTGTCCCCGGGCATCGATAGAATCGGTAAGCGTGAATATCCGTCCGTGGCTCCGCGCCGCGGAGGATATATCGCAACCCGATCCAATTCGGTGAAATCAACCCCTCTCGAAGCGCTCGTTCGAAGTCGCGTTGTGTCATATCGCGTCGCGGCCGAAAGTAACTCGGAAACGTTAATTCCTCCGCGCGACAATTTCCTCTTGTCATCGAATAATTTAATCGAAACTTGTACCGCGCGCAATTGTGCAATTTGAAAGCCTGTCTGGAGAATCCACCGTGCTCACCGGGCGATCGGATGTTTTCTCCGGCGTTCTTCAGCCTTTCACGCCTTCGGGCAAAGGCGAAGTGTTCTCAACAAGCCGCAGGCGAAACGCACAAATTCCCGAGTTCTCGGAGCTCAAACTTCGGGAATGGCCATTTTCGGCCATTTACGGAGGATACGCGGAGGTGTCGCGCTTGTTGTCGGCCATCGATTCGCTTAATAAGAGCGCAGGTTTTACATTCCGTGTGCAAGTTTTCACACTCCAAGATTTAACGGCAACGGGAGAGGGAGGGACGAAAAGTGGGGCTGCGGGAGAATGTGGAGAAGCTGGACGAGAAGCTAAACGGCTAAACGGAATATAATCCTATTAAGTAATTCCCAATTGTCCGCCAGAGTGTCCGCCGCCAAAGTCGCACACGAGGTGTTTTGTCCGGTTAGAGACAGTCGCAGTGGCGAGGGATGCATTCGATTGACCGTTCTCGTCGTGCTCTGCCGCAGGAACTGAACAGCCGGCACTTGGACCCCGTGGAAGTGTTTCGCGGTATACCCTACGCCGCGGCCCCGGTGGGAGACCTAAGGTTCCGCGCCCCGATCTCACCGATACCTTGGAACGGCGTCAAGCTGGCGGACACCTTCGGCACGGTGTGCCCGCAAAACTATCCGGACATCACCAATGACACCGCGGCGCTCTTGCAGATGCCGCTCGGCAGATACCAGCAGCTGAAGAAGATGATCGCCTCCCTGACGAATCAGAGCGAGGAATGCCTCTTTCTCAACTTGTACATACCCGGAAGTGGTAAGGGTGAGCGGTATGAGCATGTATCTTTTCGCATGAGAGATTCCAGTCGGAAAAGGCCCGAGAAAGGGTCGCGCTTGTCGCGAAAGAGGAAGCGACAACGTCCGAAGGAACCTCCATTGATTCTTCGCTTTCTCGCAGTAGCGCCGCGCTGATAATTAAATTTCGCGACGACACATGATGTCCCCCGAGAGGGTGGCGAAACTTCTTCTCTCTTTCTCTCTCTCTCTCTCTCTCTCTCTCTCTCTCTCTCTCTCACGCACACACGCACACACAGAGGTGAACAAGAACGCGCGATAAATAGTTTCGTAAAAAAGGAACTATGGGAAATTACGTTTCTATTGTTGGTCGAAGTAATCCGCGGCTAACGTAAAGTTCATCTCATCTCCGGCAGAATAAAAGGGATAATAAGTTTTAATGAAGATCTTTATTCCGCGGGAAGATAGTGAAGCTACTGCATATCCCGGTTAATGAAAGTTCAACCTTTGCGCGACTGCATAAATTATCTCCTTTTCGCGATTCATCGCTTATTTAAGCGGCGCGGGGTCTCGCTTAGGGGGCCTCGCAACTTGATTATCAACTCTCGATTAATCCGCGCGGATTTATTTTGGGAAAAACACCCGGGCGCCCCGCACACGCATGCGCGCACGCACACACACACAGCCACCCGTGCAAGCGCCGCTTCAAACGGACTATTAAAAAATCCTGTTATAAAAAATTAACGACGTTTGTCGGTTAAACGAAAACGTTCGCGCACTGTGAACACCGGCGGGGCGGGGCGAGGGGGAGAGGAAAAAAGATTTCGCAAACTGTTCCCCGAACAAAATTACGCGTTAACGCGTATTACAGCGCTCGCGGTGCAATCGACCGCGATTAATATCGCGCCACCGCAAAAATTACACGGCGAAGGTAACGCGTTACGTCGGGGCGTGCTGCGCGTTGCGAAGTTCCGGGGAGCTCGACGGCAACCGCTCTCTCCCCCCGAAATTTCTCAACTACATTATCTATCGGGACCGACAATTTATGCGCGTCCCTATAGTGTTACACGCGCGAGGCGCAACTTGCTTCCTAAAGTAATTAGTCCTAAAGTAATTAGTACCTTTATACCGGGGTAGTATCAGCCCGGGAGCAGCCGCACGCGTTACGTCGCACGTTGCCTGCCGCTCTCGCCGCGCGATGAAAGATAAAGGCGAATTTGCAACGTAAAGCGGCCGCCAGGCGCCCGGTATCCTCGGCTCGACTCTCTAAATTTAAAAACCGAGAGTTACGCGCGCACGAGAGAGAAAGAGACAGACAGACAGACAGACAGAGAGAGAGAGAGAGAGAGAGAGAGAGAGAGAGAGAGAAGCGCGAGCGCCAGCCAGACTGAGAGAGGAGTAACAGGTCGCGAAAAACAGGAGTGCAATGTCCGTGGGAATTCTCGCAGTGCGACCGTGAAACGACGGATAAAAGAGGGACCTCTCCCTCCGCGGGGAGCGCGGAAGTTATTCGAATCTTCGTCGGGACGATGATGATTGCGCGCCGCTGTCGGAGTGAATCTCGGCCGATTAGTAGCCGAGTCGTAAGAGAGTCAATTCTCGTCGAAACCGGGGCGAGAGGTGACGTCGTACGCGCGCGTACGGGGGCGATCGAGGAGGGATTTCGCGACGATTAGAACGCAATTAACAATCGCCATAAGAACTGCTTAATATACGATCGTGCGACACACGCCCGGGCTGATGACGTCCGTCCGCGAAGCCCCGGTCCCGTTTATCGATCGATCGCGCTCGTTCCGACGCTGTTAATCGACGGAGACGAGCTCGCGCCGCTCGCCTATCGAGCTTAATACCACTAATCGTGAGCATTTTACGCGATCGAGTAATCAAAGTAAGATCGCGGCGCGCGCGATCGAATCACCGCTGGCTGCGATTATTGCGAGCGGCTGGTATAGCGATGCAAAGCCCGCCATCCTTTCGCCGTGGTGCTTGGGGGATCGTATTTAGTCAGACGGTAATCGCGCAATGTGAATCGTGTGTGGGTGTGCGAGAGAGATGGACGTTAAGGGGACTGGAGGGTCAGATTGTTGAAAAATCGTGCTTGTTTTTGATAATATTTTGTGACGAGCTGAATAAATGTGCAAGAATAAAAATTTTAGATTTTATATCTGTACAACGTATGGAGAGTAGAAAAGTTTTGTTTATTAACAAATACTCATATAAATATAACGTCCACTTAAACTTTGAACGCGTTTTTCTCGAAATTTTGTCGTTCAACTTTTTGCAGTGATTTCTCTGAAACTCAGCTTCGTACCGATTTGAAATTTTGAAACAATAATATTTGTTCATCTGGCTCTCAGGTGAACCACAGACCACTCCGTCAAAATATTTCATTTCGAGGATATTAATTGTTTTATTAATTAATATTAGTTCAATATTAGTTTTTTAAAAGAACTGAAAAATTTGAATTTTTTCCTAATATTAGCTGCCATTTTGTTAATTTTGTCCGATTTTTTTTTTTTCTAGCGGTTCACCGGATAATAATAAGCTTTCTTAAGATTTCTAGCTAAAATTCGCTCTGATCAAACCATCGAGAGCCGAGATATTACTGCAAAAACGACAACTTGAAAAAAAAAGGAAAATATATTTCAGCCGTATACATCGTATATTTATATGAGTATTTGTTAATAAACAAAATGTTTCTACTCTTTATATGTTGCATAAATATACCTAAAGTTGTCATTCTTGCACATTTATTCAGTTTGTCACAAAATGTTATCAAAAACAAGCACGATTTTTCAGCAATCTAACTCTCCAGTCCCCTTAATTGATCACGATACCGCGCTTACCGGGATAAACGCATCGGCGACTTGTCAATCGCCGAGACGGCTGTCGAGAGAGACAACGGAATCTTTCACGCCGGGTTTTTTCTTCTGAGAAGACGGCAAAAGCGGTCGGATTTCAAAAGTGAGAAACACGCTGATTGTACTTCGGCCGTTCGAGTCGTCCCGTCAGAGCGCGACGTCCTACGATCAAAGGATTAATCTCCAGACAAGAATGTCCCGCGTGCGGAAGCTTCCTCGACGGAGAAACACGTCAGAGAGCGCCGGAGAATGCGAACGCGAAAGAGAGAGAGAGAGAGAGAGAGAGAGAGAGAGAGAGAGTTCTCGGTGACTCGTGAGAAAGATGGCCGCGCGCGCGCGCGCGCAAATCTATAAAAAACGTCGTATAATCCTGACGGTGTTATTAAAACTAGTCCTTCGTTTTAATTTACGTTTATCTCGACTTTACGCGGCTTACACGCTCGGTGTAAAATTTTACATCCGCCGTAAAAACGGCGAACACATTTGTAAAAGAAAAAAAAAAAAAAGGGGGGGGGGACGGAGAAAAAAGGAGGAGACGAATATCCGCGTTTTATCGATTGCCAAACGTGCCGAACGTTTACGACGGCTGCATCATAACGTGAATTCGCGATGCGTTCTCTCTCTTTCCCGGTCTCTCGCTCGCTCGCGCCTCTCTTTTTACGCGCACGCGAAAATTCACCGGCGTAGAATCCGCGCGTAAATAAGTGAGTTTCGCGCGCGCGCGTTCCTATGCGCCGGGCGCGCCGGCGATCGATGCGAATCTATCCCGTTGGACGAAGTTACTCTTAATAAAAGCGTCGCCCCCCGTCGCATCCGTCTTCTTCGGGGGCAAATTAGAGCCTTTGACGCTGCGGTTTTCCAGCCGAAGCTGCCCTACGTGCGACGAATCGCAATATCGCGTGTATAATAGATGCGCGTCACCGCGCGACGTGCGACTAACGCCTCGCGAATCTTTAGCGCGTATTACAAGATGCAATTAGCGGTCTTAATTGCACAGACGGAAAATATCAAGGCCGGCTAATTACCTCATATTTGCGGAGTCTACAGGAAAATGTTGGAAAATTTAAGCAGACTCGGTAGCTTCTCTCTCTCTCTCTCTCTCTCCCTCTCTGCCTCTCCCACTTTTTCCTTCTCTCTCCTTCTCTGCTCGTCTTTTTCCCTCTTTCGGGGAACGCCGAGAGTATTATAAATACCAACTCGATAAGGTTACACGGAGATAACAGTTAAAAAGACGAAGAGAGACCCGCGGGACTTCGCAATCCCGGCGTTTTACGTCTCGCGGTTTTATCCCCGGAGGATAAAGCGGGACGGCATAATGCAACGTAAGCGATAATGTCGCGCGCGGTATTACGAGGAAGCTGGATGTGTCAATGGAGGTTTATACGGATAAGAGGTTTATTCGCGGAAGAAAATGGAAGAGAGCGCGGTAAGAGTACGCCGTGTGCGCTTTCAGGATCTCGAGGACTGGAGGCGCCGTACGCGGTGATGGTGTACGTTCACGGTGAAAGTTTCGAATGGGGATCGGGTAACATGTACGACGGATCGGTCCTGGCGAGCGCCGGCCACGTCATAGTGATTACGCTCAACTATCGCCTCGGCATCTTAGGTACGTGCCATCCTTTAATCAGCCATCCTGCATGCTCGGATGCAGCGTTTTCATTAAGCGGCTCCTCTCGACGTGACATTCCGAAATCGCGTCCCGAGATATTATCTCGTTTTTTATGTTGCTGCATCTGGCCTCTCCTCTCCCTCCCCTCTCTGATTTTTGTTCGTTTCAATAAACTCGGCAAATGCAAACTTCCAGATCTCTCTATACTCAATTCAAAGATCCTTCCTCCCGTCGTGTTAATTTTTCGTAATTCGAGTTCGATTTTGCCGATCACCGATCATCGCCACCGACCGAGAAAGAGACTCTCGCATTTGGAACGTGGTGTCAAAGTGTCAAAGTGATTTCCCTCCTGTCGCGAGGAGACCACGGTGTTCCGCGTTTCGCGAAAAAGACTGTGCCGCGCGCTCACGGTTATTACGCGCGCTCGCACTCGCGAAAGTAAGTTCGTGTCATTAACCATCCGGCTATACTCCGAAATGGAGAGATAGTCAGCGAGAACAGTGTTGGCACAGCCGAGTCAATATTGAAACTTCGAGGATCTACGAATGCGTCCACGTCGCTGCACTATGAATACACCCCAAAGTCCGAAAGTGTCAATTCTGTCTATTTACATGTCAAACTGCCGCGGATTATGACTTAATGGTGTAACGAGCCTTTCCACGCTCCGCTTAACTGTCACCGCGGCCGCGGGGAGGCAGTCGCCGCGCGTCAACTTTCAATCTTCACGCTCGTCGCGTAAATATCAGAATAATAAACCGCCTAATCGCGCACACATTTTACCCGACGAATTTATCCAATGAATTCGCGCGCGCGCGCGCGCGCGCGCGGCCGCGAATTTCTTCTTTCATTCCCTCGCTCTCTCCTCGCGGAAGCCTCGAGCCGTCATCGTGCCCGAAATTCTCTTGCGGCCGCGAATTGCGACCGACATTCTCGCGGTCAAATTCACGGCCGGGATTTAAGCGAATAAACCGTTTCGCCGCATTGCAACGTCGCGAGCGGGCGAACGGGGGGGAGTTGAGGTCGAAAGGCGGACGGAGGAAAAACTTTCGAGGGTAAAGCGCGGCGGGATATTATCCGTCGGCGATACGCGAGAATACGTTGTAATCGCGAGCGCGCTTGGCGTTCTTCCAGGGTTCCTGAGGACCCGTCCGTTCCCCGACAGGACCAGCGGATCCGGCGGCAATTTGGCGCTGAAGGACATCACGATGGCGCTTCGATGGGTGCGCGAAAATATCGGAGCCTTCGGCGGCGACCCGACGCGGGTGACTATAATGGGCCACGATACCGGGGCAGCGCTGGTGAATCTGCTGTTGCTCGCGCCTTACAGCAAAGGTAGGATCAAGTGTCGCCGGCGCAATTACCGTTAATCTCCTGGCCGGATTAAACAGCCGCTCGAGAGCGCGCCGCAAACGCGCGCACTGCCAGAAAAACATATCCAGAGGATAGAAAATATCTATCCGGTACAACAGCGACGTATTTGCTCAGGCCACCGTACGCATATTTTTCCATGCGATAGGAAAAAGCTTTTATACGGAGAACGTATTTTTCTCTCGGATAAAAAGATGCATATTCCTTTAAAACGGAAGTCGCTTTGTGAAAGAAAGTAATTGCTTATTTCACTTGAGCAGAAATTGGAATTAAACAAAAATTATGAAAACATTCTTCGCACTCCACTCTCGAGTAGACACTGAGAGAAAAGTATTATGATATTTGGAACTATAATGACGTAGTAACTAAATTATAGTCCGAAATATCATATTTATCGTAAGTATTACCATAATATCGGTAATAATTACGATATAGGCATGGTATAACCAAGCATATAATATTCTTACTGAGAATTACAGTAAGTTAAACTAAAATTATTGTATGGATACAAATCCATAAAATGGTAGGTAAAGTAACTATATGAATATTAAATCTCACTATATTTGTGAATGAGAAATTAGCATATATGTGGTAAAAGTAACTAAACAATTATTTAAGACAATCATCGACTATATATTTGTGTTTATTCGACTATATTTTGCAGGTTCCACGAACTATAAAAATATATGGTTGACGCCAAAATCGACTATAAAATATAGTGAGATTATAATTTCAATTCAACTATATTTTTCTATCGGTGTGAAAGAATGCAGATCTAAGCAAATATCTTGTCGAGGGGGCATGATTATTTTCATCCCTTTTAGATGCTCCTCCCTTCGGTGTAAACTCGTGCATGCGCGCCAGTTGCAATTTGGATCGCGGTTCTTTTAACCGTTGGAAAATCCTCGTATCACTCGCTACCTCCCCCCTCCCTGCTATCGGCGGAGGAACTCGGGAGCCGAAGAGGCGCGTTCGTCCTTCAACGTGCAATTTCGAGCGGCGATCGATCGCGGCACGTACTTTCGCGAAGGTGCGTGTATCGTTCCTTTCAGCGCGCTATCGAACTCGCGTTGACAGCTTAATATCGCCATTGTGCCGGGCTTAACAGGTTGCCGGTCATTCCCGGCCGATGCATGCGCGATGGACTGATGTAATGCAAAATAAATCAATCCGATCCACGGTGTTATTATATTTATAAATGCGCGGCGAGTGATGCGCCGACGGCAGTGCCCGATATATTATTTTGTTCGACTTACTGGCCGCCGCGCCGCCACCGAGTAAGTCGATCCAATATTTACCGTTAACGCGCCAGCGTATTAATAACGTTGCTGTTTACGGCGCCAATGTGCCAATGAAAAATGCTCCGGCGCCGACCGGCCGGAAAATACTCGACGGGACTTGACGCTAACCGAGCGTGAAGAGGCGAGAACGCGCGTCTCGTCGCGGCGGCCGATCGCGCGCGATCAATCGATCGGGCAGATGATCTCTGAAAATCCGAAAATCCTACGGCGTCGTCGGCGGTAGCCTTCAGGTGGAAGCGGAGATGCTATTTGCAGGACGTTCGGTAGATTAATCGTCGGGGGATTAGTTGGCAAGGGTCGTGGAGGAGACAACCGAAGGGTTGGTTCGTCCCTCTCAAAAAAACATCACCCATTGATCCGCGCGCCCGGGGTGACAAATTGCAGGACTCCATTTTATTCGATCAGGAGCGAGATGGGCTTTTTTTTTTTCATTGTCGCCGGACTGAACACCGGCTGAAATTGAACGCTCGCCCGGCTTTTGTCCTTCAGGTGCGCTCCCCGCAGGAAACCGCTCGAGCCGGCCGAGCAAGAGGAGACAACGGAGAAGGAGGAGAGGGAGGGTGAGGGGAGGGTCCGGACGAAATTGCGCAATAATAAAAATGCATGGTCCTCGGGACGCGCGTCGCCCGAGGAACAAAAGCGGGAAGCGCTAAAAGCGTCATAAATACATCGCCGCGCGATAAATCGCCTCGCAGAATGCGATTACAGTGTGATATAGTTGGACGCTAATTCCGCGCCAATCAGGCAAATTATGACCAACAGCCCGTCCTGAAACCTCATGCGCCCTCGCATAATCGACGATGGTCAACATCCCTCATCGAACCCAGCCAGCTTTTGGCAAAGCTGAGCATCGCGCGCGCGCACACCGCCGCGACGGTATATTTCGGAGAAATATCGCGACCCGGCGAATTTGTCAACCGTTCAACATCACTTTTGCAGTTCAACCGTTGTCCATCATACGCGCGCGCGCGCGCGCGTACTCGTTGCCACGGCAGCCGAAATCCCTAAAACTGTCACCATACACCCCGCGTGCCAACCCTACCCTACGCTAAAAAAAAGAGATATTAAAAAAGCCGCGCGCTCCATCGCGAAAGCGCGAACAGCGAGTCGGAGCCGATTATTGATGATCGTTACTAGAAACTTGTCTCCCCGAGCGAGACGCTCGCTCGCTTTGAATTCAGGACTAGACCCTTTACGTTCCCAGTTGGATCAGCAAATCAAGATCATTAGATAACAGTTATTGGATACAACGTCGCATGGATCGTAAAACTCGACTGGAAAGTTCAGACTCAACGCTAAGTTTAACTCCGGGTATTTCACGCGAGGCAAGCTTCAAGTAAAGACTATTAATATGAGCCTCAGACAGGTGGAACGAGAGAGAGAGAGAGAGAGAGAGAGAGAGAGAGACAGAGAGAGAGAGCGTTAAAAAGAGACGCGCGACTAGAGGGAGAGGCAGGATAGAGCGACCAGAGAGAAGAGAGTTCTTCCCCTTCCTGTCTCTCACACACTCTCTGTCTCTCTCTCTCTCTCTTTCCTTTCTCCTTCTCTGGCGGATGACCGGTCGGATTCACTTCGCCTCGCCTGGCCATTTCTCGGACCTCCGGTTGTACCGGAAGCAGCGCAAACAGTTTACATCTCGAGGAGAGCATCGCCCAGTTGCGCATTCCTTCCGCACGTTCTTCCTCCTTCGCTCGAGGCTCGCTCTCGCGTCGACGGGGCAGGAAGAAAAGACGGGAAAGCCCTCGGGAAAAACGCTTTTCTTCGGCGTCCGGGACGCCGAACGGGGACGCCGCTTTTTCCGTTACCGCACTTTCCGCTTCTTCGATTCCGACATCTAGCCGACGCCGCGACCAGGTGCGGTTCTGCACTTCTTGCTAGTCAGGGATTGCAGCAGGCGGCCAGGATGCGCCGCCCGCTCTCTCTCTCTCTCTCTCTCTTTTGGCGGAGGAAATGTGCGCGGCGGCGGAGTTACGAGCAAAGTTACGAGGCGGCGAAAATATATCGAGCTCCCAACGCGCGGCCCTTTAATCTGCCGGGAGAAAAATCCGAATTTTTCGTGCGAGCGGTCTGCTTATACACGATCGCGAGCTTTCCCGGAAACGTTGCGGAATTTTCAAAAGTGCCGCTCGCGAGCTCGCTTTTCAGCGCATAAACGTTGGCCGCTTGTCCGCGGACGCGTTCGCTGCGCCCGCGTGAAAACGTGACACGAAGGCTTGCCGTGACGCAAGCCGCGCACCCGGGCTATTTTCCCCGACTAACGACATCGGTTCATTCGGCAGACGAATGCATCGGCCGCAGGCGAGTTAATATTGCATCGGGATGCAGCTCGAGCGGTCGCTCGGTCGGGGACGTCAAGCTATGCAAGGTTAACGAGAGGCTGAGTGGAATGAATGGAGAAGTGTCGATGAGAGTTGCCGGCCGGCCGCGGCGCTGCGAAAATATTAATACGCCTCTGCGCGCGTCTCGTGGAGCAGCGGGTGACTCTCCGCGCGCGGACAGAATCGCGGAAACGCGAGAGATACGAGAGAGAGAGAGAGAGAGAGAGAGAGAGAGAGAGAGAGAGAGAGAGAGAGAGAGAGAGCGCGCGTGTTTCGGCGATTAAACGCGCGACAGTGTCGTAATAAAGTTTCCGATCGAGTTACGACCCCTTCCGCGCTTCAATTGCGGCGGGGGAAAAAAATAGAAGAAGAGGGGAGAACGAAGGACGCGAGGAAAAATCGATCTGGATATCGCATCGATTTTCGGCGCTGCCAGCCGACAACAAGCAGCGCGCAGCGCAATCCGCTTTTTGTCGGCGCGCGTTGTACTCGATGCGATTACGCGCGAGATCGCTAATGGCCTTGTCTCGTGTCGCGCGTTGAAAAAGTGGCAAAACGATCAGCCGGTGTTTTCATCGATAACCAGCCGTGTACACGACGGCGAACGCGATTGCTTTTCCGCCACCGCCAACGTCAACACCAACGCCACCGCCACCGTCCGCGCCGCCGACGTCGACGTCGACGTCGCTGCTGTCTGCTGCCTTCGGCGGAGCGGAGAATGGACGACGGCGGAGCTTCAATGTTCGATGATAAATGAAGATCGCGCTCGCCTCGCCGAGCTCCGCCGAAGACATAAACGTTTCGTATTACATCGATCTCCCGTGTAATTCAGAAAGTCACTTCTTCCGTTCTCCCCGTCCGTTCTCTCCCGGGGGCGGTTGGCGCGGCTTCCCCCTTCCTTCCTTTCTCAATCCCGAGGAGAAGATCGTCGACGTTACGTATCATCGGCCCGGAAGAGACAAGAGAAATAAGCTTCTCATGGCGCAGGGAGACAGTCTCGATTTATCGTTTCCCCCGCTGTAATTTTTTATGAGCGAGGAGGACCCAACGTGTGCGGAGAGAGCACGCCTCGAAACGTCTTCTCTCCTTTAGCTCGCGCTCGCGTCTCCCTTGTGTCTTTGTGTGTTGCGCCATGTGTAAGCAGTGTATGTGTGCACACGGCAATCCTCGAAGCAGGACGAGCTTCTTCTGGAGCCGCTTCGCTCTCCTCGCCCACCGTCCCTGCTCACCCTGCCACCCGACTCCGTCTCACGACCCTCACGGAGCAGAGATACGAGCGATTGGCTTCGTGAGTAATCAAGGAGGCAACCGAGTGTGATTCCTGGCAATTGTCTGATTCGCTGCA